AATGTGTTGTTGATACAGTCTGACCCCCAGGAGCGCTCCGAAAATGATGGGTACAGTCTATCGAATGAGCAGACTTGAGGATTTTACTTTGCCAGTAGATTTTTGGACCTGTCTTGAGCTGGCTGCTTGCACGAGAGAATCATGGAAAAACGTTCCGATATTTCCGCATTGCATGGGTAAGGATCTAATGCGACGCGTCTCATAGGCCATGTATTTACATGGACGCAAAAAGCTTGATGCACAAGGCTAACGAATTAGGTACGGTCTGACTGACAGCTTGGATCAATATTGCATCTGACGCTAAGCTCCGAAGGCATCCTCACAGATTCCCATAGAGTACATGTAAGATCCCTTTCGCCACCATCACTGCGCTAGACCTGGGGAGAAGGCTCCTTGTACTACTAGAAGTATGATGTCGTGAAGTTGAAAGAAACTCCCATACAGCATGGTACTAAGGAAATATGGAGAAAGTGCCGATGTCATCGGTGACGTCCCCGACCCCGCCATCCCACTTGCCTCCGATGGCCAGTCCCACGTACAAGTAGCTACGTGAATTCCTCTCTCATCCACCCATCAATTTATGTTGCCTTCTATTAGACGATTTGCCTCCCACACTATACGCACAATGTCTCTCGGAAGGAAAGTCGCTTTGAACACTGGTGCCAGCATCCCGTGAGTAACTTTGTGGTCACTGGAACGCAACAACTTTTCAGCTGACGTAGTATTTCAGTCAATTGGGATTTGGTACATGGCAGGCCGAGCCTGGCCAGGTTGAGACGGCTGTCTTTGAGGCCCTCAAGGCTGGCTACCGCCACATCGATCTTGCCAAGGTCTATGGCAATCAGAAGGAGATTGCGCAAGCCTTCAAGAAGGCTTTTGGTGGTGCGGTTTCGGGTCTCAAGCGTGAAGATGTCTTCATCACATCCAAGCTCTGGAACTCCCAACACCGCCCAGAAGATGTCCCAGCAGCTCTCGACGACTGCCTGGCTGAGCTTGGTCTCGACTACCTTGACTTGTACCTGGTCCACTTCCCCGTCGCTTTTGACGAGCGCAGCGATCCCCACCAGAGCCTCTTCCCTCTGCGCGAGGATGGCGACGTTAAGATGCTCGATGATGTCTCGATCGTTGACACATGGAGGGCCATGACAAAGCTGCCCAGGGAGAAGGCGCGGGCTGTTGGTGTCTCCAACCACACCAAGGAGCACCTGCAAGCTCTGATTGATGGCACTGGCGTTACACCCGCGGCCAACCAGATTGAGCGTCACCCGCGCCTGCTCCAGCCAGAGCTCATCCAGTTCTGCAAGGAGAAGAAGATCCACATCACCGAGTACTCGGTAAGTAACAGGCGTATCTGGATACCATTGAACCACGCTGATATTTTTCAGGCATTCGGTAACAACATGTTCAACGAGCCCCTACTCATTCAGCACGACACCGTCAAAGAAGTTGCGAAGTCGAACAATGCCACACCCGCACAGGTCATTCTCGCATGGGCCCAGGTTGGCGGACACAGCGTCATTCCCAAGTCGGTCACAGTATCGCGCATCCAGGAGAACTTCAAGGAGATTGAGCTCTCCAAGGAAGACTTTGAGAAGATCGAGAGTATTGGCAAGAAGGAGCCTCGCCGCTTCAACATCCCATACATTGCCAACAAGCCCAGGTGGCCAGTCAACATCTTCAATGAGCCCGAGGAGAAGGACGCGCCTCACAAAGTAATTGTTTAAGCGGAGCAGTGGAAGATTGCAGGACTAGAACCCTTCAAAAGTTATACTGTTTCCAACGGAAGGTTGAAGACTCCGTCACTGGCTCTGGAATGGCTCTTTGAGAGATCGTTCCTACATGATTGGCAAAGCACAACATAGACAGATAGATATGGTACTACAATCATAACCATCAGAGTACTTTCATCCGACTGCATACATGCGATGACGTCATGATTCAATTTCATCTCAAGTCAGGGTGTATTCAACCTGTGTATTCTGTCTCCATGGCGCTTCACGTCCACACATTCTTGTCCCTCTCGAGAACAATGGATGGCGCCCAAGAAAATCGAGATTATGTAAGGAAGGGTAAGGGCCTAGACCTGGGACGTCCCGATTAGGGCAATGTGGAAATAACGACCAGCTGTGTTGGCTTAAGCACTCAGTATGCACCAAGTTGACAGGAGTTCAGCTGGCAAACTACTACACTAGCTGGTATGGCGGCTCTAGTTAGAATTGCGCGTGAAGCCGAACACGGTACAGATACCA